CGCCCGGTTCTTACCTATGCTTCCCAATCCTGGACCATCTCAAGAAGTGACGAAAAAAATCTTCTGATTTTCGAAAGGAAAATCTTACGTCGAAAAGTTGGCCCAGTGAGAGATGGAGATGGATGGAGGATTAGGAGGAACCGAGAGCTTTATGACCTTTACGGGGATATGGACATTGTAAAGTTTATTAAGCTGGAGAGGCTCGGTTGGGCTGGACATGTCGCTATGATGAAAGCGGAAGAGATTCCTAAAAAAGTGGTGGACACCGACCTTCATGGTACACGACGGCCTGGTAGGCCAAGGCTTCGATGGATTGATGGAGTGGCAGCGGAATACGGAGCCTGCTACGGATCAGAGGCTGGAGAGCGGCAGCACAAAATCCGGCCGAATGGCGGCGGCCCATTGAGGAGGCCAAGACCCACCCAGGGTTGTTGAGCCACGTAGATAGATAGGGTATGCATATGGGCCTCCAGGAATTTGCACATACTGCCACTCCCTCAGCTGAATTCAAGAGACGCTTTGAATTTGAACCTGACTAGCAAGGTAGGCACTAATAAGATTTATTTTTTCATTTATTTATAAAGTTGATATTTACAACTGTATACAAAAAATACATCTGGTAAATTGGCACATGGATATAATGACATGAAACACATGTTGAGAAATTACCCATTAGTAGCACTCTAATAATATGTCTATATTAGGAGATCACGTGGCCATCTTCTTTTCAGACGCCTCGGAGGGTTATCAGGAATTGAATAGGAAGCACGGTTAGAAACAAGAGGGTTGGGATGGTTATGAAGTTTATTATGGAAGGACAGATATCTGGACTGGGCCAAATCTGATACATAAGGAACATTAAGGTCATTATGGATAATTTTATTTGTAACAAATGCTCGTAACACATGCTCCTTACCATTGAGGATTTTCGATTGTAAGGATTGGATGCTAGAGGAATTTGAAGGTTTGGTGGAGCCCCATAGCTCAACTCCGTAAGTCCAAATAGGCCTTATTATAGTCATGTAAATGAGTCTTTTATAATTAATTGGAAGGTTAGAGCGTTTGTCTAGTAAGTGTTGAAGTAGTCGGAAACGTCGAGCTGTTTCTTGTCGTTTCAGTCTGGTATGACGATTCCAAGTTAGACGTTTGTCCAGATGGAGTCCTAGGTAACGGATTTGTTCAACAGGAATAAGTGAGGTATTGGTAAAGGATACTGAAGGACAGGAAGTCATTGGTTTACGACGAAGGGTGAAGGTAATTTGATGGGATTTATTGGAATTTATTTTAATTCTTCAGTTCTGACACCATCTAATAAGATTAAAATGATAATTAGATATATTTATATTCCTCATAATTTAGACCCTATATATCAATATGTTGTTAGACTCTTTAATTTTGCAAAAAAAAAAAAAAAAAATAGGACCTCCCACTTCTAATAGGTGGAGATAATAATGCCCATCATCATATGTGAGATAGCAGACACTAACGAGCTAGTGAAACCTTGTTAGAATAGATAGCCCCAACAGACTTGGAGATCTTAAACAAAGGCAGTGAAGCCACCTTTATAACAAAGAACAGAAGTGAGGTCTTAGACGTCACATTCACTTCAAGCCGAATTAAAAGCCTTTTAATTTAATGAAGACTGGGTCGTCACATCAGACATTACATTGTTTGACCACAGGATGATCACATTTGAGATTGAGCCAGTCCAGTTCCTCCCTTCCTTAAAAGAAATGCAAGAAATACTGATTGGGAACTTTACAGGGAGCGTCTGGAAAGCTTCATAACCCATGGGGCGGATAGGCTTTATACAAGAAAATTATATAGACAAAGAGGCTAGCCACCCCGAGTCTGCCATTTTGGCGGCATATGAGGAGGCCTGCCCTTTGAGAACAGAACCAAGGAAAAAATTTAGGTGGTGGACCTAATGAGCTGACCAACCTACAAAAAGCCACCAGGAAAGCCTATAGAAGAAGACAAAAAAGAAGATTGGGATTACTATTATTTGAGCAAAAATGGTTTGAATTTCCTGCGTTACGGCGAGTGGCGGCTTGCCAGGATAATAGATTCACATCCCGGGCCTGAGAGTGCAGTAAGGGTGGTAAAACTGAGGATTGCTACAACCACTTTGGTGCGACCGGTGGACAAGTTAGTCCCTCTCCCTTCTGGAGAAATCTTTTATTGATATGGATATTTTTTTTTCTTCTTAAATTTAATGAGGAGTCATTTTATTTTAAATTAATTGCAATTTATTAGCCTACTTTTGATCTGGCTCACTTTATTTCTAATTTTCCAAAACTCTATTTTGAATAATTTCTCTCTTTCTTTATTGTAAACCAATCAATTTTCCTCTCGTTTGTACCTTACCTGGTAATCACCAATCTCTGAATTTTTTTTTTGTGTGTGGAGTGAGATATTTCACGGTAGGGAATATGTTTGTGCAAAAATAGTTGAATTTCCCCCATTACGGTGAATGGTGGGGGCAGATCAGAAGATCTAAAAGATAACACTTAATCCGTAAGAGCTGCAGGTTTCTCCGCCCAGACCAGCAAAGAAATATTTGCCTTGCCTTAATATCTGAAAAGTTGCCTAAACAAATATCGTTCTACTTCTAAAATTTATAAAAGAGATTCGTACTAAAAAATAGAATTATTATTGTTTCAGAAGAAGCAGTTAGATTGCAGGCCTTATGTGGGGGTTAAGTGGTGCCCCCGAGGAGATGCATCTCACCGCTGTTGTTGTACCTCATAATGAATGACATATTAAATAGACTGGAGGAAACTGGGATGTATGTCCAGGCATTCGTGGATGATGGCGCGATCCTCATCACAGGAAAGTTCATAAATACAATTTTTGAACGAATGCAAGTCGCATGCAACATTGTTCAGACATGGTGTATTGATATGAACTTATCAGTTAATCCATTAAAGACTGAGTTGATTCTTTTTACCAAGAAACGTAAACTGGATGCCTTCAAGGCTCCAAAATTCTTAGGTAAGCAACTTCAACTAAGACAGATTGTCAAATATCTTGGTATTACCATAAATTCAAAACTGAACTGGGGACCACATTTGACAGAAGTTAAAAGAGAAACTATAATAGCCTTTTGGCAAGTAAGACTGCTGTTGGCAAAACTTGGGGCTTTAACCCTAAAGTCGTGTATTGGATATATACAGCAATAATTAGACCTAGGATACAATACGGAAGGGTGGTGTGGTGGTTAGCCCTAAATAAGGTCACTAACATTCAAAGAATGGCCAGTATTAACATTAATGGGGCATTCCGCACTACACCTATAAAGGCCCTGGAAATCTTATTGTCATTGACTCCTTTACACCTACGGATAACAGGTGAGGTGGCTATGGCATTTTTAAGAATGAAGGATAATAGACAGTGGAAATTAACAGGGACACACACCGGCCACTTAGAAATAGCCAAGAAGGTGAGAAAATAGTTACCTATCTTACGGTACCTCTCTCCGCCGCTTGATAAAAACATTACTTTAGACACTAAGGTTAGCTACCTGTACCCCAACGTAACAGACTGGGCACAGGGTTCAGTAGAAACTCAAAAGGACTCTGCCCTGTTTTACTGATAGGTCAAGGAAAGACTCAACTGGTTTAACGGTGCAGGAGTCTATGTAGAGAACCTAAATATAGAATTAAGCATACCATTAGGTAAACATGCTACAGTATTTCAAGCAGAGGTGTTTGCTATACTTTCTGCATCCACCAGTCTAGAAGTTAGTAACTGCAAGAATGCAAGAAGAGTCTCCGTAAGTGACCTCCACACTGGCGACCTCCACGGTAAGGTTGGTGCTAGGCAGGCGAATTATCTCTACTTAAACCTAATGACCTAGAATATTTTGTGTTAAATGGCACTATTTGATGATAACTCATAGTTTGTTATATGACAAAGTAAAAGATATTATCAAACAACATACATTCTTGGGATGAGGTACTTTTCTCAATGGAAAGGCCAATCATTTCCTCAAACAATCTTCCAAATCACCAACCAAAAAAAAATGAAGGATGAGTTTCCACAAGGACAAAGAAGACCGACCAGCTAGAGGTGGCCGGTTTTTTTTTATTATGGAACATTTTGGAGCATTAGATGGAACATCTGAATTGCTTTTCGTGTTTAAATGTATTCCCTTTAATATCTATATCACAAAAATCCTTCCCATTTCAGCAGCTAACTATGTATTTTTTTATATCTATATTAATTTCTAGCCCCAGTTCTTTACGGGCTTTCATCAACGTTGTATTTAGTTTATGTAGTTCCCATGTGGGGTACAAAGATTGTGGGACGAACAAAACAAAGATATTTTTAAAAATGAAAACAAATATTGTCTTTTAAAAGTTTAAATTAAAATTAAAATCGGGTTTTTTTGTTAATTGGCTGTAATGTTTATCCCCAATCCATGGCGTCACCCCCAGCCATGGCACATCAGGGTGACTGCACATGCTACAGCCCTGGTAATAGTAATGATATGTAGGTAAAACGTATAATCTAATATAACATGTAGATAGTTAAACTAAACATTAATAAATATATGAAATGGCAAATATATGATATTTTCTACTTAAATCAAGTAGAAAGTAACGGTAACAAAGCTGGTAATTTTAAAATAGTGGTGGCAAAGTTAGGATATATAAGATAAGGGTAATACAATTAAAAATTAATGAAATAATGGAACAAACTTAAGAAGTTATGAAATAAAGGTAATAAAGTGGTGAAGTAAACAATAATAAAATAACGATAACAATATAATGAAATTAACAAAGAAATGAAAAATGAAATGTAAAATAACAGGTTGATATATAAATGTAAGGAAATGTAAAAATTACTTGGACATCACTTTCATTATTTTGATATTTTTGAGGGTTTTTATTATTCTTTTTAAATGCAAATCTGTATTATCAACTACAATAATATATACCTGGTAAAAAGATTATTTAAGAAACATAATTAAAGCAGTAATAAGTGGGGAGTCGTACCTGGATACCATCTGTAGAAGAATACAATTGATCTTCAATGAACCCAAGTTTCTTCTCTAAGTATTTGAAGTCATTAATCTTTGAACTAATCAATTCAAAATGCTCAATAGTGGCCTGTGATATATTTGAAAAGTTTTCTTAAAAAAAAAAAAAAAAAATAAAGTAAGATAGTTAAATAATGTTTCCAAAGTTTAACCCTAAATATATGATTTGTCATGAATAATAAAAAATGAAAACTCAGCTTTTTTAGAAAAAAAAAAAAGTTATTAAGTTAATTTTCTAAGGGTTTACCATGTAGTCAATTCTTTCCAAGCTTAAAACTTTTCTTTGGTTTCTCAACAATCTAAACATTTTATTATATTTTTACCCAGGGCTTGAAACTCCCATTAAATTTTTAAAAAGTTTTATTTTAACAATGTCGGTGAAGCTTTTTGAAAAAAAAAAAAAAGAAGATAAATAGGTTAAATGAGAAAGAAGTTATCAGTGGGCTTTGCTTGAATATTATATTTCCATGAGTAGCTAATGTACTGTCAAATTGCCAATTTTTAAATTTATTTTTTGGTGAAATGAATCACTTTAACAGAACCTTTAAATAAAAGTTGTATAAAAGCTTGTGTTGAAAAGTTTCATGCGAAAAAGTTCCCAAACAACAGAAAAACAATCAAAAATCAAAATTATAGTCATATTACAACTAGTGTTGCCCAAAATAAGTCTTGTTCTTGCACTTTGCAAGACCAAGACCAAGGCCGCCTAACTGTTGCAAGACCAAGACCAGGACTGGTAAAAAAAAATCGATGTTTCTAATAAAAAATTAAGGCAAAATAGTTACTAATACTCGACAATCTTAGTTACTATATGTAAATAATTGGTATAACCAATATAGTTTTGCATTTAATTCCTCTAATTTTTCATTCAGGCTTAGTTAGGTTTCTCCTATCTACAAAATACAGTACTGTAAGACTGTTGCGAGACTCTTGTGCAAGACCAAGACCATGACGAAACTGAGTTTGCAAGACCAAGACTAGTCTGGGTCTCGCATTTGGGCAACACTAATTACAACTGATTAAAAAATAAAAGTTTACTTTTTATTTCAAGCCCTGTTTTAGTACATAATATAATATAATATAACATTAAGACATAATTATGTAATGCATAATGTAATAGAGGGGAAAAAACGTCGGTTTTCATGTTATACTATGTCAACCATAACTTATTTCCTTTCATTAAACTTTGAATTAGCATTTCATTTCAGCTATCTCCTTCCATATAAATCCCGTCAACTACTGGTTTTCTCCCTTGTGTTCCCCCACTTCGACTATGGCTGTCTGGTGTAAGGCGGATACTCGGGAGAATTCGAGGCCAAACTTAAACGCCTAATGAACTGCGCAATACGTTTTGTTTTCGGAATCTCAAGAGATACGCATATAACCCAGTATTACACCAAGTTGAAGTGCCTCTATCCATCCAACCGCCGTTTGTACTTCCTTACCACTTTTCTATACCAAGTCATCAGAACTCAGCGGCCTTCCTATATTTTTCACAACCTACAATTCAAATATTCCATTCAATCCCGTCTCACTAGATCTCGTACCTCCGACCTCTATCCACCTCCCCACCGAACTGCAGCGTTTGACAAATCCTTTATAATGCAAGCCGTCTCCTTCTGGAATACCATCCCTCCCGATATCCGACATGTACAATCAGTTTCCTCATTTAAATCTCTCCTTTTTAACCACCTACTCCTTTCCCAACCCGATTGATCATGAAAGGTGGATAAGAGAACTTTTAAAGTTCCCCCAGAAATGATTTTCTTTACTTATGCAATTTTATTTTATTATATAGTTTGTATTATACATATCAGAATGTTTTTAGTGTAATAGTTATATTTTTTGTTTTATTATTTTTTCAAAATCTTAATCTTAATAATAAATGTAAATAATTAATTTTATGTATGGCCACACAGGCATTTATTCTGTATCTGACAACAGTCCCAGGATAATAAAAAAAATATTTTCATTTTCATTTTCATTTCATTTTATATAGACCTATATGTCTCCTCCCTGTGATGAGTAAGGTCCTGGGGAACCTCACGATGTCAAGCTTATGCCCTGTTTTAGACAGAGCAAGCCATCCACGGCAATACGGTTCAACTAGAGGCAGGGGGACCGCTGATGCTCTGCTGAGAGTGCGCCAAGATGTTGAAGAGAGGGCGGAACGTTATGCTATGTTATTATTTTTTGATGTATCTCCCGTCTTCGACAGTGTACGGTGGCCAATCGTGCTCTAGCAGCTGCAGAAATACGATGCTCCTAACAATTTATATTCAATTGAAGCTACCTCCAGAACAGGCGAGTCAAGATTAGAGGAAATCACTATGAGGTAGAAGCTTCCATAGAGAGGGGATGCCCTCAGGGATCAGTCCTTGGCCCTGCTCTGTGGAAGCTTGTCTTCGATGAATTGCTGGAAGTGCTAGAGGAAGAGCGGTTCCCTGCTACTGCCTATGTTGATGACCTAGCTGCAGTGGTGGCCTCAAACAGCAGAGCTGGAGTCAAGACAGAAGCAGAGCGATGCGCTGGCCTGGTCGCGAGGTGGTGTGAGGGGAATAAAATGAGGATGGTTGCTGCAAAGACTCAAGCCATTCTCCTTAAGGGCAAGACTGACAGGGCACACCCTATAACAATGAACGTAGAAGACCATAGGATACGTCCAAGTGAGGTGATAACCTACCTAGGAGTTAGGTTAGGTTTAGGCCTAAATGTGACACCTCACTTGGAATATCTGGCAGGTAGGGTGGCCATAGCACTGAACGGTCTAACTCGCGTGGGGTGAGCATTCTGGGGCCTTAGGTATCCAGCATCAATCACGATGTATAAAAGTGTCGTGGAGGGTATCCTGAGGTATGCGTCTCCCTTCAAGTTCCGTAACCTCACACTGCGACAAAAAAAAAAAGGCTAGCCTCGACTCAGGGGACAGCTCTGCTTCAGGTCACCAGAGCATACAGGACAACTTACGTGAATGGATGAAGAAGTGACAAAATATTCGTATAAGATGGAAAGCTCTACAGTACTTTCGGACAATCTATTGATGAGGATTATGGAAGCGCCTAATAGATGGAAGAAGATACTCCGAGAGGATACAATTGAAGCTTGGAACCGGCGGTGGGTAGCAACTCCTAAAGGAAGTATTTTCCCACAGTACAGTCGAGGCTTAAGGCAAAGTGGGTCCTCCCGAACTACTGGATTTCCCAGTTCCTCACTAGGCATGGAGGATTTCGAGCTTAACTTCACGGTCTGGGCATTGATGTAGATCCTCTATGCCCAATCTGTAGTGTTCCGGAAACTGTAGAGCACGTGGTCACGACCTGCACCCCATTTGAAACGGTAAGAGCGACTATGACAAGAGCCGCGGGAATCTATGTCTTCACTGAAAATGAATTTCCTCAGTTAGTCAGCGAGGAAAATTTCCAGCGGTTTAAGGATTTCATATATGGATGGAAGACGGCGGTGGAGCCCGCTCACTTCCATATTGGTGCCCGCAAAAGAAGAGGACAAGCGCCAGGAAGACTTCCAGATTCTAGAAGCTAGGCCGAAACAAGAAGAAGAAGAACAGAAGAAATGCACATCATATTAAAAAAAAAGACAGAGTGTGTTATTAAGCATTCTTGCCTAATAACACACTATCGCAAACACCCGTATTGCCATAGTGGCACGGGAGGGTAGAATATATAAATAAATAAATATATGTATTATTTTACTTGAGATCATATGACATCATGGTGATTTTTAGGAAATTATTAAGTTATGTACAAAATGCAAGTATCCATTACTATGGAATTTTCGACTAAAAGTAAAAAAAAACTGCTGATTAGTTTATCAGTTTTTTAGGTCATATAAAAAGTAGATATATCAACATTATCTAACCTGCAGGAGCTAGATTAAGAGATCCCGTTACATTTTGGTGAAACCAGAATATACTATATTCAAGCCAACTAAAATAAACTACTAATCTAGAATTTAATTCGATACTGAGTTCTGCGCATGCGTTAGCCCTAGTTAAACATACGTCAGGTCGTCTCTTATAAAAAATCTCAATTATCAGTGGCAGTATACAAGTTTAATGTGAACAATTAGTGTTATCAGTTACATTAACAATTACGTTTGATACTGGACAAAAAATTAAGGTGAGTAATCACTTATTTACAACACAAGAGTGAACAGTGTAAAAAGACCTTAGGTTAGTTAGATAACGGCCAGCCATATACATCGTTAATCTAACTAGTGGACAGGAGCCCTCCGTCGGAGGCAGACCTGCGATCTCCAAGCGCGCGTCTATATTTTCGTCTTCAATAAAAATATTTTTTTTTTTTCATTGACTCACTTTTATCAATTTTTCATTTAAAAATTAATATAAAATGCGATATTATCACATGCTAATGTCGAGTAAGGGCAAAAACACTAGGTCCAGGAGCCTCGATACTACAATGAGTTCTCCCATTAAAAAAAAGACAAGGCATTCGAAAAGAAACACTCCACCAGCCACACCAGGGAGCTCCATAGAAAAAGTGGAACCCCAACCTGGCTCCTCACAACAACCCAACAATTATGAGACAACTCAAGCTATGGGTGAAGAATCGCCGTTTTTCACTTCGAATCCATTTGAAGTGCTTTCAAATATAAATAACGAACAAATGGAAGCAGCATCCACCCCCAGAGAACCCAAACCCCCACCAATATTTGTTAGAAATATTAAAAATTTTCAATTGATGTGTCATCAATTGAATAATCTAGTAGGTTCAGGAAAATATTTATGCCAAAGCCGCACCAATGACACTAAATTAATGCCCGACACTCCAGAAACTTACAGAAAAATTATAAAATATTTATCTGACACCAAGGCTGATTACCACACGTATCAACTGCGTCAAGAGAGGGCGCTCAGGGTCGTTATCAGAAGACTGCACCCATCTACGCCAACAGATGCTATAAAAGAAGAGCTCATGGGTATGGGATTCCATGTTCGCCAGATAGTGAACATATTCAAGGAGGATAGAGAACAGCCTGGAATAAAAAATAAAATACCTCTTCCACTATTCTTCGTTGACCTTGACCGAACACCGATGTCGAAAACATCTACAAGG